GGCCGCCCCCCTGGCCCGGGGGTCCCCCCCCCCCCAGCGAGCTCGTCCACCCAGGAGCAGCCTGGTTCTGTGGTTGTCAGGAGTGACCGTGACCAGGGGCGGGGGCGGTGTGTGGGGCTGTGGTTGTCTGTTTCACAATGACAGTACTTCCAAACGGAAAGAAGGACATTACGCACATCTTAGAACCAATGAAAATCATGAGACTCAAAGGGGAACTAGTACTTCACCCCAAATTCCCTGTAACTATCATGGTATCCACCAAGTATTGATAATATTAATTGTTTTCTCCTATTTCTCAAAGTGGTACTTAAAATACAGGTGATTTGGGTGGTGCGAATGTGTTATGTAGATGTTAAATTGTATATATCTTTTTAAGTTTTTTGCCCTAGAGTGTGTGCATTGGAGAGAGAGAGAGAGAGAGGAAAAATGAGAAACCACCCCCTAGGAGGATGGCCACGCTGCGATCCCTTCTCTATTCTCCTCTCAGAATTTTGGACACGTATGCACACGCGCCTGGCATAATTTTCAAGTCACTGGGTTGGGGATCTGAACCATAGTTGGCCATGTGGGAGTCCAGCACCTTAACCACCACATCACCGGCTGGCCCAAGATTGGTTTGATTTTGAAAAGGTGATATAGACCCACAGGCGGCAGCAAGAATGTCTCAGCTTTGTGCAACCGAAGAGCCACTCGTTGCATACAGACGCTGGACGGAAGCAGAGGAAAATGAGAACTGGCACTCACAGGCTTTGAACAGGCACACTGGGAAGCCACCCATGCCTGCCCTGGAGAATAAGAGCCTCTCCCCAACAACCCAGCACCCTGCCTGGAGCAACATGAGACAAGCTCGGCCCCAGGAGCTCGCCTCTTTTACCCTGTCTGGCAGTAATCTTCCGGAAGGCAGGGACATAGGGAATCTAACCTGGGGCCAGGGCGGTCCAGCTGTCAGAGACCTTTGGGTTGGTACGGGCACCAGCCCACCTGCTAGGATGTCTCTCAGGGACATGTGAGGGGGATCTGTCTTCAAAATGTTCATGGAGGGCTGGCCCTGCAGCTAGTGGTTATGTAGCTAGAGCCAACATGGCTGACTAGTTCAAATCCCAGTCCTGATAGCTTGAAGAACATACTGTGTGTGTGTGTGCATGTCCCAAATCCTGACAGAGGGGGAATGGAGGAGTAGGGGTATTGGTGTGACCATGCTCCATGGGAGGCGGGTGCACTCTGTCCCCCCCTTTGGCAAGCACACATGTCCTCTGGCAATTTATGAAAAAAAGTTCACAGAAAATGCAGATGATGCCAAAACGATGCTATGCATGGATATCAAAAGTTTTCATGTCCAAATAAACTCATACTTAATTGCAATTTTCTATGAAGTCTCCTTGTGCTTTATGAAGTCTGCTCGACTACGGACGTCAAGAGCCAGGAAGACCCGCATCTCTACTTCCCGATTTTGAAAGAAGGAACTCCAGACGTACATGAATTTGGATGATCAGAAACAGACATGCTAACAACCTGCCCTGGAAAAATAATCAAATCCTATTGCAAAGAAAATCAGGCTAGCCTTCCACGCAGAGGGAAAGATCGTTTATACGTAATCCGATGCTTGGGATTAAGCAGAGCAAAGAGCAGAACTGACCATGGGAGGACCTGCATAGGTCTACCTTGGACACGGTCTCCCGGAGCCCAGTTCTCAGGGCTGCCTACTGGGGCTTTGCCTCACTTCTGCGAAGAGAAACACTCTTTGTGGGTTCAAGGATGTTTGAGGTTCTCCTCCCTATTCAGAACACAGGACGAACGAGGACCGACTTCCAGACCCGTACCGGCTGTGTGTGACGTCCATGTGTGCGTACGCTGGCCATGTCTGCAAAGTGACACCACGTGTGGGCACCACGTTTGTCCTGTCTGCCCCACCACGATGTCAGGAGACATCTTCATGGGAAACTGGGTTTTAAAATTGCCTCTGCAAGGCGAGGGCTGCCCTGTCTGTCTCTTTCATCCGCATCGTGACAACAGCCATTTGGCTCCTGTGGTGGAGACGTGGCTGGCAGCAGGAGGGGAGGCACACCGCGGAGTCCTGTCACCCCGAGCATGCCGGATCTGTGCCACAGAACAGGCTTGGCACTGCCCGCACCCCGCAGGAGTGTAAGGACACACACCAGAAACCGAGTCTCTGAATCTTTGGAGTGTGCTGATTTAAGTCACTTTTCTGACCAGAAATATGCTTTTAAAAGAAAAGTATATTGATAAAAAGAAAAAAAAAAGTAAAGCTTGAATTATAGTTAGTGTTGTTTGATGTATTTTTTTTAAATATATTTTTTTAAATTCTGGTGGAGGTGCCGGGGAATGAACCCGGGGCCTCGTTGATGTATTGTTGATGTCAGCAATTTAATAGAACATGGAGACTCTAAAGGCTAAAGGCAGAATTCTGAGGACCAGGAAAGCACTACGTGTGCAGACAGAAACCGATCATTCTAGAACCATGTTCTTGAGACAGTTAAGTCACACTGAGAACGACAGACAACACTGGAACGCTCTTCAGTTAGGACAGCCTAACCCACCAGAAAATGGAGTACTCGGAAGAAAGACATCTGAGTTTTTTTCTCCAGCTTAATGCATAACAGAATATCCTTTTAAAAAGGAGAAATGTATTTAGATTTTTAAAAATTAATTTAAAACACAAAGTTGCCTTTATAAATCTCCTATTCATTCATCCATCTAGGTAAATAATTTGTGACTTGAGATTTTTATGAATTTGGGTAGCTTGGTATTTTCTTTGCATTTTTAAAGGATGTATTTTTCTTTGTTTAAGAACCTCATTTGTTTAAAAATTGTTTTTGAGTGGTTTTTGGCCACCAACTCTTCCTGGGGTTTACTTGGCTCAGCTTTGTCCAGAAGCTAATTCTGATTCTTCTGTCAAATGCTCGGTGGCACGGTGTCACCTGCCCTCCTGAAGGCCTGGCACGGCACAGGCAAGCATCTGACCGCACTGGGGACCTGGCTGCATTTAAAGGGGAAGGGAGGGACCATGGGCCTTCGTCGCCGAGCACAGGGTTAGAGCTTAACCCAGGAGATCTACTTAAAGACAGGGCGCGATCTCTTCTCAGAGAAGTCTGGTCCCTTTACTTCACTGGCTTCCATCAGGAGGTGGAGCAGTCACCTCTCTCCACTGAATCCCCAAGTGCACACGGGGTCACTAGCTCCAGCTGGCCATGGGAGTCCAGGGCTGGGCTGCTCCAACCAGCTTCTCTGTGGTCCCCAGGACTAGCACAAGTTCCCCAGGGTCTAGAACAAAGCAAGACCCGGGCCCTTTCATTTTTCTGTTTTCATCGAGTTATCTAAAACACGGGCGTGCACCTCTCACGGCAGGTTGGGGAGGAGAGGTCCTGGACAAATGTGGTTGATCTCACCGGCTTTGTAGACCCAGTGAGTGGGTGACCTTCTCAGAGCTCGATTTGGGGTCAGTATGGTCTGAGTCTCAGCCCTTCCGGCACCATCCCCGGTGACTTACCATATTTGGGATTTTCTGGGTGTCTTTCCAGAAAAGCTTGGACCACCTTTTATGGCACAGTAGAAGCCCGTGTGATCACAGCGTCCTGTGGGCGGTCTCACGAGCCTTTCACGAATCTCCATTGACTCAAACATTTCTTACTCTTTGTCTCGCAGACAGTGAAAGCTTCCATGGTGGAGAATGATTTGAATAGCAATCTCTCTTCTTGTTTACCAAATTTCCCCTAACCAAAACAGCTTTGAAACCCATACATTTTCCCCAACTAGTCTCCATAATGCACTTCTCCCCAAACTTTGGGACACCATTTCAGGAAGAGCCACAGGACTAGACACCCATGTTACTCTCCTCTGAACCCACCAGGCCCACGGCTGTCCTAGGACAGGGAGAGGGTCGCTCCGGCTGTGGGGGAGTGGAGTGGTGGTGACTGTAGTGAGGAACATGAAAGGCAGTTTATTCTCACGGTTCAGTCGCTGGCCCACCCTCCGGGCTCTTGGACCGGCCTACCTTGGCATGCAGACTCTGCGGTTTGTTGGAGAGAATGTCTGCGGCTTCCCTGCAGCGGGTGGAGAGGTTCAGGATGGCAGCAGCTGCTGCTATGTGGGTGTCTTCACTGCACTGACCGTAGCTGTGAGAGCTGGCACGGCGAGGGCTCTGTGTGTGGGCGCCTGCACTAGGCAGCCGATTAGGAAATTTCACTGGATTTGAAAAATGCTTTGCTGTTAAAGAGAGATTTGATTAGCAATGGCACGTACGTGGTTTTAGTCATTAAACAGGTTTGTTTTTCAAGCTATAACTTCTTGAATTAAACTATGTGAAGACTAAATTGAAACATGATCTATTATCCATGGGTACATTAAATGAAGGTTATTCAGAATGAATTTCACAGAGGTTCACAGATCAAATGATGTGATTGCTGGGGAAGAATGAATGCCCACCCTTTTAATATTTTTTTGTATTTATACTTCTTATGACAAAAACTATAATGTTATGGGGCAGGTGTACTGGCAACATTTGTAGCAGAAATTATAGATTAAAAAAAACACACACTAGCAAAACCCATTGGGGGACTAAAGAGTTTACGTCATGTATATCTCAAAATTGTGCATATATATTGTGAGGTCCAGCCACTCTTTTCTCTTTTATTTTAAAGAATTATTTAATTTAATTTAATTTATTATTATTTTTCAATTTGACCAGAGAGACAGAGAGAGAGGGAAAGTGAGAAAGCAAGCTGCTAGGTCTGGGACTCGAACCACCCCCTGCTGGCCCCGAAGGCCCAGCCATTCTGAAAAAAAAAACAAAAGGATCCTGTCAATGTTGGTTTTTGCACTAACATTTATGCTTAGGTAGTGAATTGTATTCTTATTATTTGATATACAGGTTTGTTTTGTACTTAAACTCGTGGAAGTTGTTCTCTGTCCACATGGAGGAGACTAAATAGATGCCGACTCGTAAGCGAGCTGGCGTTCTGCACATCCAGGGAAAATGAGATAAGCAAAGGACAGGGAGGAACGGTCCCCAAGGAGAACAGAAAGGCAGTTTAGTTATCAAGGCTGAGTTCCGTTTCATGTCTCTGTGGTAGGGACCAAGGCGTTAGTGAGCCGGTTAAACAGATTTCTCTGCACTCGGGGTTACGTGAGAAACGCCCAAGACTCAATGTGGGCACCCGCAAAAGCATTTAGCTACTTATTTTAAGCATTGAATATTGTTTATTTTAAATACTTTTCATAAAAAAATTTTAAATACTATCCAGTGTTAGTCCTATAGTTATAAGAATATGAAACTCTCACTGAATGCTTTGTACTTTTACTATCAATATTCATATGAGCATATAGAACGCTCTTATTACTAGTATCACCTGAATGAAACACTACGTGTGTGTATATTGTGTGCATATATAATAAAATTCTATATATACACGGGGGAGTCCTCAAAAGCTCATGGAAAAATGCAATTAAGGTATAAATTTATTTTGGTACAAAATTTCTGAAATCAATGAATTATTTTTTTGGTAATATGCATTTTCTATGAATTTTTTTCCCCTAATTTTTACCAGACAGTGTACGTGTTTACAGGAGACCAACAGAGAGACACAGGGAAGGTGAGAAGCACCCCAGGCAGAATGGTCACCCCGCAGCCCCTTCCTCCATCTCTCTCTGCTTGCAGGGGCTTGAACATGCATGCACATAGGCCCACAGGATGAATCAAACCACTGGGTCCAGGACTTGAACCACAGAGTTGACCATGTGGGATCCAGCCACCTTAACCTCCATGCCACCAGCTGGCCTTTCTATGAACTTTTTGAAGACCCCGCCCCAAAACCCAGTATATATACAAAATTGTATGACTAGATAGTCAGATATCAAATAGTGTGTGTGTGTGTTCGTGTGAGTGTGTGAGTGTGTGTGTGTGTGTGTGTGTGTGTAGATTTTTTCCCTTTGTGGGTGTGTGTGTGTGTGTGTGTGTGTATAGATTTTTTCCCCTGAATCTCACAAGCTGCCAGTGGTTGTTTACGTTGTCAGGGACTCAGTTTAGGTAAGAATGATTAAAATCTCGGGCCAGCCCCATGACGTGGTGGGTAGGGCAGCTGGGTCCCACATGGCTGACCTGGCAGCCTGAGAAACACGCTGGGCATATGTGCGTGCATGGTGTGTGTGTGTGTGTGTGTATAGATTTTTTCCCCTGAATCTCACAAGCTGCCAGTGGTTGTTTACGTTGTCAGGGACTCAGTTTAGGTAAGAATGATTAAAATCTCGGGCCAGCCCCATGACGTGGTGGGTAGGGCAGCTGGGTCCCACATGGCTGACCTGGCAGCCTGAGAAACACGCTGGGCATATGTGCGTGCATGCCCAAAATCCCAAAGGGAGGGAGAAATGAAGAAGGGATGGCAGGAAGACCCTTCCCTAGGGCCAGCAGGCGATGTGGTGGTTAAGGGCACTGGACTCCCATATGGCCAACTATGGTTCAAGTTCCAGACTTGGTGGCTTGCTTTCTCGCTCCTCACCCCCTCTTTCTTGCTCTGTCCCTTTGTGGTCAAATTAAAATAAGTAAACAAAGTTAAATAAAATAATTCTTTTAAAAAAATCTTGTCTGGAGTAATGCGCTTCTCACTGTTGGGCAAATTCCTTTCATGTCTATTTACCCACTTTGGGTTTTATAAGGCCCTCTAGCTCTCGTTCAGCCTCCCACAGGAAGGAGGTGTGCGCGTACACGAGGGCGCTCGGTCTACACAACCTGCTGTACGGTTAACGGCATTCCACAGATTTGCAGAACGTTTAAAGGGTTGTGGTGGCAGAAGACTCAGAGTGAGAAATGCTTTAGCTTCTTCCTTAGGGGGAGTTAAATAATGGTAGTGCGGAAATCATTTCCTGCGTGTGTCCAACGTTTACTCCCTCATCTTTTCATTAGAAAATGTACGCACTCTGACAACCTGAGGAAATGTGCAAGGAAAACCAGCAGGGTTTATATGTCATGGCGTCTTTGGTTACGGTCTCCTCCACATCTGTGTCAGCATCAAAAGGCTACTTATCCCTTTTGCATGTCTGAACAGGAATTCTTAAATCTGTGGGTAGATATTATGGCCACATATACTTTGTTCTAAATAAGTTACATTTTCAAGGTATTTCAACATTTTACACACTAGTTATCATTTCAATCTGAATAAAATTATTGTATTAAAACAGCTATTACATTTTCAGTCTATTAATCTCAAATTCAGGTAAATGTATAATAAATTAAACATTTCTTTGGAACACCTGTATTTAGATCCAACAATGGCTCCTCCATATTTGTAGAACAGTTAATTCAGTATTCACCACATTCAGTGTAATTTTGGTATAAAGTCAGTAACATCGATCAAATTATTCATTTTTCTTGTTGTAATTTACTGTACAATGTATTTTCCCTCCTAACTGTAAGTAGCATATTATATATCTGAATGCACCCCCCCACGCATATATACATACACACGTATCCAGACATGTACCCACATATGCATCGACACACATGTATGCATACGCGTACACGCACACACCCATATGCAAATACAAGGTTTGTCTGGGGACTATATTAGAATTTGCAGCTTACATTCAGGAAACGGTGGTGTTTTCCGTCCTTGCCCTATTTGTACGAGGGGACGTTTACCAAAAACTTGGGCATCAAAACTGGCGTAATCAAAGGGTACTTTTCCAAACTTCTCTTGTTCTTTTGACCCGGTGGCTCTGGGAGAGGTGATGGCTTGGGATCGGAAATTGAATTCAATTTGCTTCACCAAGCTTGTCCTGGAGAGAGGGGGAAGGA